CACCTGGGCACACTGCTGGCTCATGTTCAGCCAGCTGTCAACCAGCACCCCCAGGTCCTTTTTGGCCAGGCAGCTTTCCAGCCATGAAAACGCTGGAAGATGCTCCTTGCCAAGCAGAAGCAGCTGTGCTCAAGAGCGGGTTGAGTTCAGCTTGCGCAGCAGGCCCTCGGGGCTGTTCCTAGTACCCGAGATGGGAGGACATTACAGAGGACATGATCCCGCAGGGCTCCAGGGTCCTTACCTGGCCCACCACCTCCCCAGGGACAGACCCGAGATCAGCGTTCAGCCACCCGCCCTGCCCTGGCCACTCTCCCTCTTTGGGCCCACGAACATCCGCTGCCAACAGCTTCCCGAGCGCAGCGCTGGGCATCCCGCCCCTGCCCATGGAGCACTCGCCCGGCGTGGGAGAGGATCAGACGGAAAAGGCAAAGACCCCTTTTCTTGCTTCTGCCATCACGACGCAGAGGACTGTGGCATCTCGGCCTGCAAAAACATGACAGGCTTCTGGCTCCCTGTCAAATTAGGTTTTTAATTAAATAAATAACATCCAGGGGTCTTCAAGGCAGTATCACTTCACAGTGTAGGGCTTGGGGGGGGGGGGGGGAGAGGGAGGAAAGAGTCCAGCATTGGGAGTGGCTCAAAGTGAATGTGCTTTGTAAGAAGGAAAAAGAAAACCCCAACAAGAAACCAAAACCAATCCTCCTCCCCAAGTGACTCCCCCTCCCTGTCCCAGCCCTTTCCACCCCTCTCCCTTAGTTATGTGGAAAAAGCGCTGCACTCATGTTGAAAGACCCCAGGCAAATGTGTAAACAACACTGAAGAACATAAATAAGAGACATTTTTGCCTCCCCCAGCCTCCCCTCTCCTTTCATTAGGGCTTGAAACAAACTAAAGAAAAAAAAAATGGTTTCAGGAAAACTAAGAATGTTCTTGGCTGCTGGAGAGGAGATGCCAAGGCCTGGCCCTCCCTGGGAGGGCTGCCCGTGCTCTCACCCTGCCTCCTCTTCTCCTTTCAGCCAAGGAGCTTCCTCTCTCCCCCAGAAAAGGGGAATCACAGCCTGGGCAGTTCCACTATGGAGCGGGCACTCGTATTTGCCTTCTGTTTCCAGCAACTGGGAGCAGCCAGAGGGGAGACCTCCGGTTATCACGTCAGGTTGACAAAGCGATGCCTGGTCAAGGTGTCTGGAGCTCAGCACCTCTCAGCAGAGCTGGCCGGGGACCGATGCAAACCCCTGCTAATGCACGCAAGACAGGCCTGGGGCTTGGAGGATGAGACAAGGTCTGATTCCCGTCATCCTGCGAAGCTCCCTGATGCCGTCTCCGTGCTCCCACTGCAGGGCTGAACGCAACTTCACAGGGCTGGGGAGGAGGAGGAGGATCCGGGCTAACAGTTTTAGTCATCTTCCAAATCCACTGGCAGCAGAACCAACTGCAGGATCACAGCCCGAAGGCCTCTACCAAAACAAGCAAAAAACTTCAACCCAAACCCCTTCCCAAATGCAGAAAATGGCCGGAGGAAGGGAACATCTGCACCAGAGCCTTGCCCAGCAAGTCAGCAGACAGCATTCCCTGCATGGAAAAAAGGGGAATGAGAACATGTGGACTTAAGCCAGTAGCAAACCCCAGCCCTGGAACACACTCAGGAATCGAAGCAGCTCCGGAATCCAGCACACCCACAAACATGCCACTGTAGCTCTCTTGCACAGCAGCTGGCCACCTCACTGCCATGTGGGGCCACCCTCGTCACCTCCTCGAAAGGTTGCTAATGGCAGTGAAGACGTACTTTCCTCTCAGGAAAGAGAGCTGCTTTTGTGACGCAGAAAGGGGCAGGGCTGCCCAGGGACTGCTGTGCCTGGGACTCTGTGCTAGCACTGGTGTCCTACACTTGGTGCCCCGGGAGCTAAGCAACCTTCTCTCCTCCCACAGCTGACGAATCGTTTGAACAAGCTGAGAAGTTACAGATGTTTTCATCTGCATTTTACCCTCTTGTGCTGCAGCGGTCAGCAAGGATCCAGTCATTCGCCGCCACTAACAGAAGCGGCAGCACTGCACCGCTCTAGGGCCAACGCTGCTTTGTGGGTCTAGGAACTCCCTTTACTCCCAGAACAAGTTCTCCACGGCCCAGCGCTGCAAGGGAAGGCGAGAAGGACTTAAGTGCGCACAGTGCGACCGCACCACGCAGTATCCCTTTCCGAGACCTGACGCTTCTGCCGAAGGGCTGGACCAGGCCACATCCCACCTGCAGCCGGTGGTAGAGCAGGAAGGAAGACGCACGTGGCTGCAAGAGGTTTGGAACCAGCAGCGTGTGTGCCTGTCACGACCCACGGCTCCGGAGCGCAGGATAACTGTTGGGAGGGCAGCGGGGAGAATGACTTCTATTGCAACACACTATCTGTGGGTGAACGGACAAGACTCCTCATCTTCCTTTGGCATCGCCATGCCCGTCTCTGCAGGCGAACTGCCCTGCAGCCCGGGTGGACTGTGCTCCCTGCGGATTTCCTAAGCTCTCGGACCTCCAGACTGCATCCTCTGTCCCAGCTCCCAAAGTGCCGGTGATACATCCCTGTTCTCAAAGCATCTCTGCACTCAGACTGTCCCGCTGGGGCCAAGGGACATTTCCCCCGTCCCGAGGCAGGGACTCTCCGAACAGCCTGGCATTACCTGGGGTGACACATGGTCAACGAAACAGGGGGTGATGGACCTCCCCCCCCACTAAAGCCAGCCACCAGCTTTGCGTGATTGTGTCAGAACACACTGGAGCAGAAAGGTGTTTGGTTTCACTGTAGCCTTGGATCAAGGAGGATGGAAAGACGGATTCTGACCGACAGCTCCAAACTGTCCCGACGGAACAGTGGAAGTTCCAGGATTTCACTTAGTCAGGTCAAAGTCCTTGCTGGGTCTGTGACAAGTTTGTGACTGGAGACTCTCACTGTGACAAAGGCTCTGACCGAGCCACAGGTGCTGGGCAAGCCTGATGAGCAGTCAGAAAACTATTTACATCTCCGATGCCAATGAGGCCAAAATCTGTGACCGATAAGGACACTTGCGCAGGGGCCACCGCTGCCTCTGGGTCTCTGTCCAAATCCACAGGGCCAGCAATTAAAGGCAAACCCTCGTTAATGTCTGCAGGGAGAGTGAAGTCCATGGTTATCGTCTCACCAGAGCTCTGCAATGTCTCCTGCTTCTCTGCTAGTCCTGGTCCTGCTGGCGGCAAAGCATAGAGCCCCGATTCCGAGGGGTTGACAGTGTGTTGTGTGCAGGAAGCCGAGATGGCGCCTGAGGACGTCTCCTCCGTGGGGTCAAAGGAACAATTCGTCTCCGAAGGAGTACTGCACTCATAGCCCTGCCCCGATTCACTCATGCTGCCCAGGCTGCAGGCCGTGCTCTCCACGCTCAGGGGCTCTGCACACCACAAAGGAGGGAAACGTGGGAGGTGGACGGACAGACAGACAGACAGGGAGGAAGAAAGGGTGGGGGACAGCAAGTGAAAGAAACCTAGAGTGAGTCTGTAACATACAAAAAACCAGAATCCAGTTCAATCCCACCTAATCACAACAGTATTTGTTTGCTGGCACAAACGTTTATTATAGCAACCAACATCCCTGCCAGCATGTACCGAAGAAAGGCAAGATGCAGACAGCAGATGGGAGGCCATCAGTGTTTCTATGGAAATTAAAGGAGATCTCACAGAGACACTCCAAGATAAGCCAAATCCTAAGTCCCATCCCCTCATGCCAACAGCCCCTGGCAGGTGCCTACACAAAGCCCTCATCTGCGGTAGGATGGTGAGGAAATGAACCCGTTTCGGGCTCCCTGTGAGTCTTCTCGCAGCCAGCTCTCTCTGAAAGCAGTTCACAGGTACAGGCTGGGGCCTTAAATCAGCCTCCGGAGGAGCTGCCTGCGCCCAATGTCCCTGTGTGAGTGCATTGGAAGCACCTAACTCAGGCACCCAAAGTTAGTGCAAATCTTTTTGCTTTGGGAGCGCCTTCGGCCGCCGCTCCAAGCCCGAAGCAGGAACAACTCTTTTTAAGTCACTACTGATCAATGTAGAGACAGACAAATCTCCTTTGCTCACCCCCAAATCTGCCCAGGGCTGGTATTTGACACAGGGCAAAGTGAGCACACGGAGAAGAGAAACAGCTGGATAATGGCAACAGGAGAAAGGCAAAGGAGGGGCTGTGCCGCTGAGTGAGGGAGACGAGTTATCCCCGTGGCAGACAGAAAAAAAGGAAGTTACCTGTGCTCTCTATTGCTATCTGATCTTGACCGAAGTGAGAATCCAGGCAGCTCGTTGCAGAGGGAATTGGTGGGGAGCTCCGGGAACGACTAGTATTTTCTACTTCACCTCCATCCAAGTCATTGTCGGTGTAATCCCTGTGGGGAAAGACAGAGAGCACTGCCACCACCTGTTAAGCAGAGAGATGCAGGCAGGGAAAACAGTGACTGGGATTAAAACCCTTCCAACAAATAAAGCAAGAGGACTGCAGGGACCTCACTAGAATGAATGCCCATCCCTTCTCGGTCTGCAGAGCCCAGTTTTAGACTCCGCACTGAGGCAGTCACAGTTAACTCAGCGTGGCTAAGACCAGCCCACGATAAACCGGAATGGGGTCTGTAGCTTTCCAAAACAAACAGCTCTGCCCCCCAGCTCTCTGTGAGCCCCAGCCCCTTGCAAAGGGAAATAAATGGTCAAATGGCCTCCCCAGGGCACAGCCAGCTTCACAGAATGACTGCAGTGGGTTGTGACAATGTTAGTATGCCAGCAAAGAGCAAGTGATGAGAAAATATCTTCCCACCCTGGGGGGATTTGAGATTTCAGGTATTTTCCTGTCTTGCATCAGAATTAAAAAAAAAAGTAAGACTTCATCTAATGCTTTTAATTGATTCAACTTAAATATTTCATTTTGACCTTTCAAAACGTTTCAGTTTCAACCTTTCTGAAAAGTATTTTCTGTAATTAGCATATATTTCAAAGTGAAGAATTTGCCTCAAAGGGTGGCAGCAGGGAAAGAAATTAATTCAGGCTCCAAAACACCAGAAATAGTGTATTTTTTACTTAAAAAGCTTCTTTCCAAAACCTCACTGAACTGAGTTATTTCCCGAGATCGGCCCTGAATCCCTGACCCGAGCCTTAATTTTTGTGAAAGCATCTGTCTGAAACAAAACAGTATTTTCTGACACAAGGAAGTCCACATTCAAGCAAATAATTGCTTTATCTTCCCTCCCTACACTAACAGTGTTTATGTTCTGAGAATATCCACTGCTTCCCTCCATGCTCCCACCCAAGAAACCTTCTAGAGCAGAAAGCGCCGTCTTTTAAGCGGAGA